TAGTTTGAAAAGTGCGTGCGCAGAAAACGAGAGAGGGGGTTGGGAAAATGGGGGAAAGAACACAACCTAAGCAATGGTTGGTAACTGTCTAACAACACCAGTACTCCCTCTGTCCTATAAAAAACGTTTATGTCCAGATTCATTTTATTGGAAAACGTCACATCATGTCCTAGGTTAGCACTCAAAGTTTATCCCGTTCCCATTTTTAACACTTCTATCAATTCTCATATCATTTTCCGTCCGCTTTGATTGCTATTGACTCAAACACGCACACGATATAACATTTCTACCCCTCATTGCCATGCATTCTACGAGTACTTTTTAAGGTTGATTCCATAAAAATTGTTTTCTTTTTGGGAGGAAGTACTAAAGTACGGAACCATGATCGAGTACCAACTACCAAGTCACTGAGTATTTGAAAGGTATTCCAAGTTGTATCGTCAGGAATCTCTTGAACAAACCCCTATTGAAATCCGAGGCCTAACAACTCTCTCACGATCACGAGGCCAGGCCCATAAAATCTGCACGGTTCAATTCGTTTCCTTAAAAAAATCACCTCCTTTTTCGTATTTTCTTCTGACTCAAGTCAACAGTAGAAAACTCTTGGCGCGCGAATATACTACATAATTAACCTCAGACGTCCGCCTCGCAACGACACCTTTTCGCCCTGCAGATGAGATCGCTCTTCGTGTCTCGGTCCTCGATCGCCCAATCGAATCCGCTGCAACTTCAAGCAGCCACTGCCCACTGATCCACTCGAGCGGATCATATCGTCCGGAGCTCTAGCTAGCCTCATTATTGCCGCCGTCGAAGTGGCTGAGGCAAAGAGCCACCGCCGCCGGCTGCCGGAGCGGCTCGCCGGAGAGGAGGAAGGCGATCGAGCGAGGAGAGACTGCAGCAGCAGCGTCGACGACTAAACGAGGCCAACACGGACAGGGTGGGTTTCGTTTCTTGGCCTTTTATTTTTCTTTTATTTTTTTTGGTTTTCAAGATATAATGGGGTTTTTCTTGGCTTGATTTGAGGTGGTCGCCGTTCTTGAGCTGATTTGTCAGGATTTTTGACTGGTTTGGGAATTGGGATGTAGGGATTCGAGATTTTGTGGTTTTCTTAGGAGGGTAGTGCGGCTCTGCCCCCTTCCTTTGGGGTCTTCTTGGGAGGGTAGTGTAGCTCTGCCCCTTTCCCGCTGACTGGAGTTGCGTTTGGCCGTTGAAGTAGTCTCTTTGTTTTTCTGCTTTCTTTTTGTTTGTGTTTTTTTCTTCCTTCCCATGGCATAAGCCGGTTTGGCTAATTGCTTGTATAAACAAACTCTTATTTCTTTTAATATATTGACGTGCAATTCTTTTGCGCGTTCGTGAAAAAAAAAGATTTTGTGGTTTTGTGGACAAAGTTTGGATCTTTGTTTCTTTCGTAATATTTGTTGCTGCCTCAGATTACCCCTTTGTTGATAATTGGATTTCATTTAACTTGTTGTTTCTCCATCCTAAAATATAGTAAAACACAACCATCACTAACACGATAGACCAATAAAATTTATTGTGACCCCCTTCCCCCCTCCTCCCCAACCCAAAATCACCCTAACAAATATAATGCATGCATCAATGGGTTAGAAATCACGAGTGTAAGAGACACGGTATCTAGGTACCCAATGTTATGCCTTTGGGCCATGTTACACAAGATGGGCCAGGTGGCCTAAAGCCCATGCAGTGTGGTGGATCAAAGGTAAGGTGTAAATCTTATTCCATGTAAATAGGATTTTTAGAAAACAAATTTAGAAAAGGGAGAGGTGGTTGTTAATTGCATATATGCATCTGCGCCTTGTATTTTGAAACATGAAACAAAGTAGTGTTCTGTATTTTGTAATTGAAGATTTCCAAAGATCATTTCAGCAGTAGTAATGCATGATTTTCAAAACTTCTTTTCTTCCCGGACTGCCATGTCAACACCGTCAAAACCACGTTTACAGATGCGACGTTCGGGTATTTATAACAATTTTTAATAATAGCACACTAATAGAGTTACTCGCTCTGTCCACAAATAAGTGGTCCTAATACAAGATGTAACATATTCCAGTAATACAAATTTAGACAGACTGTCTAGATTTGTAGTACTAAGATATGTCACATCATATAATAGGTGTATTTATTTTGGAACGGAGAAATCACCAACTACCAGTAGTAAAATTTGCTGACATACGAGAGGGATAGGTGAGGAGAGAGAAATATCAATGTTAAGCTTAATATCATCTTTTAGCCCATGATAAAAGTAAGTTTTATAGCATGAAGGTGGGAAAAAGGAAGGATGGATAATATAAGAAAAATATTTAAGCGACTATTGTCTCAACCATTATAAGGTACACCCTTCGTTTCATATTTGTTTTGACTTTTTCTTAGTCAAACTTTTTTTAAGTTTGATTAAGTTTGTAAGAAAATATAGTAACATCTTCAACACAAAATAAATATATTTAATGTTAAATGTAGCAAAACTAATTTGGTATTGTGGATGTTACTAAATTTTTTACACACTTAGTTAAACCTAAATAAATTTGACTAAAAAAAGCCAAACGATTTATGGATGATGTGTATTGTCTCAAAGCCTCGTGGAGGCTCAAAGTATTGTGCATGCCTTTATCAAGGCGATATATATTTAGAAATTTTTTTCGTCAAATTTTGTTTAAATTCCACTGGGTTCGTCTATGACTGCTCGATTATATATTACAGTTATCTAGAAAACCGTCAGGGCCGGAGAGGTTTTCGATAACAAATTACATTCTTAAACCATAAACAAATTCACCTTAATTCGTTTGAACCTAAGGATAAATTGGAACGGTTTTAGAAATGGAAGGGTGGATAATGTCCAGTAGAACAGTTGAGGGATTCTTTTTCTACAAGCGTGCGGATAGTTTAGGCATAATATGGATCTGTTCATTTAATTTTCTAATTGGACTATGTTTGGCAGCGGCACAAGGAAAAAAACTCACTCGTTTTCTTCAATATGTATTTTTGCAAAATCTTCGGTGACATGAGGAAGGGGGAGAATAGGGGAAAGAGAGAGGAGGCTGACGTGGCCACGCTGACATATGGGGTTCACGTGGGTCCCACGCTGACTTAGCCACCACGTAGGATAAAATCGGGGTCAAAACCACTGAATAGGGGTGAAAACGGTACGGAAACTTTCCGGATTGCATACTTATTTTCGAAAACGGAATCTGTCGGTCGGAATTTTTTCGGAATTTTTCGGAAACGGAAACAAATTCGGAAATATTTTCTCGGAAACAGAATCGGAAATGATAAGGGCGGTTTCCGTCGGAACTCGGAATCGGTCGGAAACTTTCCGAAAATTTTCTCGAAATTTTCAAATATTTTCTCGGAATTACCAGAAATTTTGTGACTAAAATACCCTGGATTCTTTTTTTAAGCACTAAATAGTGAATACCATGGTGTTTGGCTGGTATTTTTTAAAAAAATATTTGTTATGCAAATCTAAAATTACATAAGAATATTTTTTCCTACATTGGGATTATTCAACAACATTACTCTTTTAAACATAGATAATTTATTCAATTGGATTTATCAGTTTGAGGGGTTTTTTATTCCGATAAATTTTCGTTACCGTATTCGCGCCGGTTTGTTTTCGCTCCGTTTTCGGTTTCGATAATATTCGATTCTGTTTTCGTATCCGGGGTTTCCGATTCCGATTCCCAAAAAAATATGAAAACGAAAACGATAAAGATGGTTTCCGTCCGTTTTCGTACCGTTTTCACCCCTACCACTGAAGGACCTATTGTGACCGGTTTTGATTAGTTAAGGGACGTCAGATATCTGGTTTTGTGATTGGGGGACGATTTTGTAACTTGATGACAAGTTGAGGGACCTTCGGTGTACTTTTTCCCTAATAGGTTGACAAATTTCTTTCCCCTTTGTTCCTGTCCCAAATATAGATGGCCAAAAGGCTAGGGACCCGATGGCTCGGCCCAGGAACGGCATGACCCGACTGGTGTGGGGCCCGTGCTAGACCAACCCGACTGTTGGGCCGTGCCTGGGCCTCTGCCTCAGCATGGTCCAATGATCAGGTAGGAAAAATAGACTTATTTGAGCCATATAAGGCATGACCAAAGAGATGAGCGATGCAAAATAGACTTATTCCATCCATATAAAACACAGCTCAAAGAGATAAGGAAGGCAAAATAGACTTACTCCAAGGAGGAGCACGGGGGATTTCGTGCCTCCGGACCGGCCAGCACAGCCTGGGTCTTATTGGGCCATGCCTAAGCCATTGGTGTAGTTCGTGGGCAGGCCCGACCCGGCCCAGTGTGTAGGTCGGGCCGTGCTGGCCCGACTGATCTTGGGCTCAGGCCTGGTCGTGCCCGGGCCAGACCGGGCGGCCCATTTGACCATCTATAGACCCAAACTATATGAGATTCTTATATACCTTTTGTTTTTAGATCGAAGCAATGGTTTCTATGGGTTTCTTCCTACAGTTAGGATTCGTAATTCTTCTAGAAATATAATATGGAGTAATTATAATTACCATGGTAAAAATTGTCACAAACTATGGGGCATTGATTATGTTCCCTTTTTTTTTTTTACTTTTGTGTTACCTGGAAGATGTCCATGCGTAAACACACACCACTATATACGCAGGCACATGCTACAAGAGATAGAATGTTTTGTAACAGTTGATTCTTTTGTTGTTACAAGTTTTTTGTGCCAAATTAAGTTTCATAGCCATGGACCTCACACGTCATGCTCTTATTCCCCTGGGGGCTAAGGCAAGATGGAGTAAACAAATTCTTGGCCACATCTTAGCGAACATTAGCAAGGTGGTGTCACAATGTAAATTCTTATTGAAATTGCATATGTGTAGTGCAGCCAGTGCTTCTCCGACTGTTTTCTTTCTTGAACATGCATAAAGCTAAAACAACTTTATCTCACAAAAAAAGTGCTAATCTATATAACTAATTGTATACAACAGGTGGCTTGGTGTCAATAATATTTATGCGATGAAGAATTTGGTGGAACTATATTATGAGAGGGAAATCCAGCTGTTTGTCCTCGTCAGCTTCGCACTCCAAGTGTTCCTCTTTTTCACTGGCAGCCTTCGGCGGCGCAGCACCAACATATTCCTCAGTGTTTCTATTTGGACAGCTTATTTAGGAGCAGATTGGGTAGCAGTTTATGCTCTTGGCAACCTCTCAGGAGTACAGGAGAGCATCATATCAAGGAGAAGTCAGCTGCCACTGTCTTTTTTTTGGGCACCGTTTTTCCTCATCCATCTCGGTGGTCAGGACACAATCACTGCTTTTGCCATGGAGGACAATGACTTGTGGCTGAGGCATTTCTTGAATTTGGTCGTGCAAGTAGTCCTCGCCGTGTACGTTTTCTGGAAGTCAGCTAGAAGGCAGAGTGCGGAGCTTATAGTTTCGGGTGTGTTCGTGTTCATCGTTGGAGTTATCAAGTATGGAGAAAGGACATGGTCACTCAAGTGTGGGAGCTCAAAAAGCCTTGAGAGCTCACCTGGGCATCACTACAAGCAACGGTTTCCGGAACTAAGAGACTCTGATTGCGACTATCGAAATATGGTTTCCAATGCTCTATGTTCAATGTTCAATGTCCTCAATGTCTTTGCAGCGCGCAACTTGTTCGGTTATAGCTTCCCAAGTGTTGGTCCAGATGATACTCAAGTCGACGCCAAAAAAATGTTCAAGTTGGTGGAGCTTGAGCTCGCCATGATGTACGATGACCTCTACACAAAGGCTCTTGTGCTGAGAACAAGGACAGGCATTATACTCCGATGCATCTCTCACGCATGCTCCTTCGTTGCTTTTGCACTCTTCCTTGCGAGTGATAAAGATCGGTACATTGGAGTTGATATTGCAATTACGTATTCACTGTTTATCGGAGGCTTTTTCCTAGATTTTTGTGCGATGTTTATTGTCATAACATCTCCATGGACTTGGGTCTGGTTGAAGGCTGCACAGAAGAGAGACTGGCTAGCCAACTTGTCCTGGTTCCTCTTTTCCAGTGATATTGGGTGGCCCGAGAGAAGGCCACTGTGGTCTAGTTCCATTGGACAGTACAGCTTACTCAGCTGGGACTCTGGATCAGACCAACCAACAAGATCATGCAACCAGAAAGTGATGGCTCTGGTGAGAAGATCGGCGAGGTTAGTCGGCGTTGGAAAGAAAAAATTGTTTTGGATGAGCAAGCTGCTGGACACTAAGTTCCTAGAGGTAGATGAGAAGACGATGGAGTTTGTGGTGGAGGGGATCAATCGCATCCGCGACGAATTCTCCGATGTCGCGTCCCGGGCATGGCCAAAGCTTGGCCCATTCCTCGAAACCATAAGAGTTCATTTCACCGCGGACTTTGGTGCTGCCATTGTCGTGATTCACTCATTCACAGAGGAGTACCTGATGAATGCTGCTGCTGCAGCAGAAGAAGAAGAAGAAGAAGCAGGTCAGGGAGGAGAAGCAAATGATATGATGGAGGTGTGCCGGAAGCTGTCCAACTACATGATGTACCTCTTGGTGAACCACCCTTCCATGCTGCCGCTCAACGTCAGCTCCGAGGCTACGCTGGCTGAGGCTGCGCAGCTGATGAAGGTGGTGAGAGGGCGAGCACTGGAGGAGATGGTGGATCCATGCGACGAAACGTTGAGGGAGATGGTGGACATGTGGACGAGGCTCCTCATCTACACCGCCGGCAAGTCCCGGGGGCCGATGCACGCGGCGGAGCTGGCCTGTGGAGGGGAGCTCATCACCTTCGTCTGGCTGCTCATGGTCAAGGCCGGCCTCGGGGATTCCGAGGCGAAAAGGATCCTCATTGCAAATTCTGCTTGCGCCGACACTAATACGAAGGAAGCCTATGCCTTTTATTTCGCTTCGTGACGTGTATCTATGTAATAACCATGAGCCGCCGGTCAGACCGACCAAACACCTACGGTGTCAGACCGGCTCCGTGAAGGAATAACAGTTATTTCCAAATTTTAGTAATGTTTTTCTATTTTGAATATGATATATGTGTTGAATTTGGATGTTAACACCGTCATTCCTGTATTCAAATCTTTGGATTCACAAATGTACATTATTCCTGATTTAATTGAGGCATGTAGCTTGGCAGTGAATGCCCATGATGGGCTTGCAAAGGCATCTGCCATTTGTCCAGAGATATAGCACGATCTAATAACTGACTCCCTGGACAAGCTTCCCTTGAGATGTGCTTCTATGCTCTCCCACTAAAAAAAAAGCATGGATTTCAAAGAAGACGAGAGGCTAAGATTAGAAGGTGCTTAACCGTCTGAAAATCAATTAGAAAGGGTACTTTCGTCCATGGAGAGAATTAATCTCGCATCTGATGTTGGCTCCTTCGGCGCCGGAGGCCAATACGCTACTACAGCTACTCGATCATTGCCCAGATCATGAATGCAGAACAGAAGATAACTGGAAGAAAAATTAACAACGAATAGGATCATCGATGGTATAGCTTGATGGAGCATTCAACCTGATATATCCATCTCACAGTTCCTACTCTTCGTCTGAATGCGGTTGCACACTTGCACTGGATGGCCATGAAAGAAAAAGGTTCTCTAGGACAGCCAATTGACGCAACCCCCTAAAAAGACGCTCCACGTCGCCCACGCGCAGGCAGCTCGTGGCGAACCCTAGCTGCCAGCCGCCCCCTCCCCTCCTCATCTCTTCGTCTCGCCACCGCATTGGAGTGCGCCGCTGGGAGAATCGGGCGGCAAGCGAGGATGACAGTGGCGGGGCTAAACCTCGGTGACATTCCGCCTCCGGCGTGGGGGAGGAGGCGCGGAGCTTGGAAGCTAGAGGACGACGACGGCTTATCTGGCGTGAGGCAGCGGATTCGGCACCGCCCCAACCGGATCCGGTCCCCACATAGCCAGATTCAACGTCCCTACTTGGATCTGGCCGGGGAGCAACCGAAGTGGGTGGTGGCGTGCGGGGACAATCTGCGGCGAGAGGTTGTGGACGACGTGGTGAGGCTGGAGGCCATGGACAGCACGGCGGGAGGCAGTGGTCGGTGCGGCGAAACCGGTGGTGTCAACAACAACAGGACGATGTGGGCGGTGCCGATGGTAACAAGAGGCTGGCACGGTGGCACCAGCGGCTGCAGGGAAGCAGTGAAGGAGCGACAGAGCTGGCGGCTGCGCGGGGATGGAGCCAACGGCAGTGGGAAGCTGGCACGAGTGGCCAGTAGTGGAGGTGTCGGCGACGCTGGGACAAGAGCGGCCAGCAAGCACGACATGGAGGCTCGCACCTGATGAGTGCGGCGTAGAGGCGACGGGGCTAGTAGGAGCGGTGTGGTGGAGAGGCCGCCTGGGCAGCAAAGACGGCAGCGATGTGACCAGGTAGCTCGTTGTGGACGACACAGGCAACCGGGCCAAGGCAGCGATGATGTTAGTGCCATGAGGTCGGCGTTGATGACTGCAGTTAGTTCCTCTCCAAGCGTTTGCCCCCTTGCAGATGGCCACGTTGGGTGGGCTAGTGCGGGGGAGAGGGGATCCATCCTTCTCTCTCACCCTCTCTCTCTCCAACCTGTCCACGTGGATGGATCTGGAGTGCGTCGGAGGCTGAGATCCTGCTTTGATGGCTAGCCGACAGCGAGGTGTTGGTGCAGTGGCTGCGTGTTGAAGGGATTTGGCTGGTGGTGGCTGCTGAACCTAATAGGCACTCAATGACGCGGGAGTGTTGTCCAATCCCATCTTTTTTTTCATCTCTTTTTTTTTGGGTTTGTGTGGAGGTTACCCCTTGTATTGCATGAGGGGTGGCTCACCTTCTCTTTTCTCACTTATTTCTTCTACCTCATCATTCAATTCTATATATGTGACATTTTCAGGTGCAACACATCAAGTATTATAGTACTTGCCCTAACACGTAGGTGCTTTGCTACCATCCTCACTCCTCATATGCCTCCCTAGGGTGTGTTTGGTAGTACAGGTTTCCAACCGGGAACAATACGCGCGAAAAATGGAGCAGTCCATTAGCGCGTGGTTAATTAAGTATTAGCTAATTTTTTTTCCAAAAATGGATTAATTTATTTTATAAACAACTTTCGTGTAGAAACTTTTTTTAAGAAAACACCGTTTAGTAGTTTGAAAAGCGTGCGCGTGGAAAACGAGAGAGATGAGTTGGGAAAAGGAGGTGCCGAACACACCCCTAGGGGGTCCCTCCCTGTGTGAGCAGCCATCGACGCGACAAATGCCTCCATCCATTGTGTGAACAGGCCACGTGATGCCACCTCTTCTTCCCAGCTCTCAAAGCTATAGGGGTTCTATCTCACATGACCTCTCCTCTCCATATCATGGCCTTAGGGTGTGTTCAGTTCGTGAAAAGAAAATTTTTTGGTGTCACATCGGATGTTTGACCGGGTGTCAGAAGGGGTTTTTGGATACGAATGGAAAAACTAATTTCATAACTCGGCTAGAAACCGCGAGACGAAACTTTTGAGCCTAATTAAGCCATCATTAGCATATGTGGGTTACTATAACATTTATGGCTAATCATGGACTAAGTAGGCTTTAAAGATTCGTCTCGCGATTTCCATGCAAACTGTACAGTTAGTTTTGTTTTTATCTATATTTAATGCTCCATCATGTGTTCAAAGATTCGATGTGATGTTTTTGGGAAAGAAAATTTGGGAACTAAACTAGTCGAGTGGATCTGGTGGAATTTGACCATTGGTAGCTTCTCGTCCTTCCGGTAGTAGTGTAAAATAGCAAAGGGGTTCTCGCTGGTTAGCCTACTTATCCACCATCTTCGTTCTCCTCCCTTTCATTTCATTCTAGGACTTCGTCCTTGCGATATTCATTCTCCTGTTTTCCTTTAGTTTGCCTATAATACTTGTGTAGTTATGGATATTGTGCATATCACAAGTTGCGATAAATTTTGAGGGTTCAATGAAATTGAGGGTAAAGCCTGTACAATATATCCATGTTCCTAATTTTGATACATGAGCATGCCATCTTTCATTTTTTTAATATAAACTAGCCACATGTCTTATTCACGTGTTTAAGGATTGGCATTGAATAATATTTTTTCTCTTTTTTTACATTGATTAGCTATAGTTGCCACACGATTTAATGCCCCTCGAAAGTACCTCTACTTTCTTATAGAGACATTTTATAAAATGCATCTTCACTTCTAGAGATAATTCACCAAAAGGTATTTTGAAAAATGCCTCCATTGCATTGTAGAGGCATTTTAAAAATGTTTCTATAGTATTAAAAAGATGTCTCTACAGTGCATTTTTGTTGTAGTGTTTGCTGGATCGATAAACAAGCAATTCGTGTGGATCAAATAGCAGTGCCCAATTCCATTTAAATTTTTATGATTGTTGTTTTATAGGTGCCTTTCTAGTGAACCGAGGTTAATAGTTGGTCAGCCATATATTCTTGATGTCATGTTATTACAGCACAGCAGATACCTGTAAACTTTTCATTGTGATATTTTGCATATGAAATTTACAATAAATATCCTTGTAACTTGTGAATTTCACAGAGATAATATATGGCTGGAATTCTGATTGTTTGCTAATGAAAATTTTTTGACATAAATGTAGAAGGTCCCTTTATTTTTTGCCAAAAATAAATAAATTGTTTGCAGATGTGATTTGGGTGGAACAAATAGATAATTTGGTGGAGTGCACATACAACTTGACAATTCTTACATGCCAATCTATTGCAGCAACCTTTCCCGTCTAGATTATATTATGTGTAGTTTTGACCTCATTAATTTGGCGGTAAAGTTCATTTTTCATCCTGAACTATAAAACTCAAATGCTTTTCAGTGGTTGTGTTTGAAATGGATGTGGTTTTCCTATTTTATACTCTTACTGTGCATATTTTTATGCAAATATCACTTACTTAGATCCAGAGTCGTGAAACATACCTGATTGAAGTTCATACTATATCAAATTGATCAAAACCACCATGAATTATGAAATAGGGAGTAGAGGTGAAAAATAATTGGTTTCGTAGTTTAGGGTGGAAAATAGATTCCAAGCAAAGTTAAGGGCAAAAAATAGAGTTTACACTTAATTTGGTTTCCATGTCCTGTTCTTTTGATGGACTGGCCTCATCTTTCCGAGAAATCAACTCAACCACTTACCAAATGGTACTGATTTTGTAAAGGTTACTGAATTGTTAGTTGCACTGAAATTGTTGTAAGTTTTGTTGATGTTTTCTTAAACATGCATTTCATCAAGGATAGGAATTACCTGATGAGTACTTAGTATTGTAACCATATCGATAAGTAGAATTAACTACAGAAGGAATAGTTGAACAGAAATCTCTGAATTTAGATTTACAAAATCGCTACGGTGCTATGTTACATTTGTAATATCTACAAATGTTTTCCCAAAAAATGGGAGAAGATAGATTGTTAGTTATTAATATGACAGTGTAACTCAATTTAGTATAATTATTATGGTATGGCCTGTGATTGATGTTTTGTTTTCAAGCTTTGGTTCTATGCAAATTTTAATGTTACGGGGTATGCTTATGTGTCGCAAATGTAGACTTTTATGTTCAATAAAACTAGTCATCTTGTTATGTTAGCTTTTTTGTGTTATTGATTTTGATTTAAGTTGCACATATAAACAAGCACCACTGTCTTTTTTTTTTACAAAGTTACAGGGTGTTCATGGTCTATTTGTTGCCCACTGGAATGTTTTCTTAAAAGAGAGAATTCTTAGAGACTTCTTGAATCATATCACTTCAACTGCAATATGATATTCCAGCTTCGATTAGTATAAATGACAATCTTGTTCAACTTCTTACAACTGTATATATGGCGAAGTATTACACAGATACGGTTACAGTCAAGAGAAAAGGAAGGAGAAAATCTGGGATATATATAGGGGCTGGCAGCTATAGAAAGCCCAAATCATATCAGCCATGCATTATCTCTTATCACAGGAAGATTGCTGGTTATTAATCCTAACTCTACTTCATACATAGCTTTAGATTATAAAGATGTAGGGAACAACAAACAAAGCTACTCAAATCAGCTAAAGTACTAATCAAACTTTCAAACTTTAATCAGTTGAAAAAGAACGCATATGCTTCCTTCAAATCAGCTGCAGCACCAGCAGAATCAGCAGACGAAATGGACGATATGGTGGACGTCAGCCGGACCCTTCTCCTCTCGGATTCGCCGAGCCCTTCCCGGGCCATGAGCAGCCAGGCGAAGGTGATGAGCTCCCCTCCGCTGGCCAGCTCCGCCGCGTGCACCTTACCATTGGACCTGCCGGCGGCGAAGATGAGGAACCGCAGCCACATTGCTGCCATCTCCTCCACTGCACCCCAGCTTGGTTGGACATCCTCTTCTAGTATCATCTTGTACATTTCCTCCATTGTTCCTTGCCTTGACACACCATCCTTATTCTGCTGTATAATGTTGTATAGCTCATCCAGGGTCATCTTGCTTCCTTGTTGTGTCCTAGACAGTTCCTCTCTCGATTTCGCAAACTCAACCACGGTGGCTTCGGAGCTGGCATTGAGCGGAAGCATGGAAGGGTGGTTGACAAAGAGGTACATCATGTAGTTGGACAGTTTTCGGCACACCTCCACCATATCATCTGCATCTCCCCCTCCTTCGTCTCCCGCTGCCGCGGCTTCTACTGCATTCAAATATACTTGAGTGAATATGTGCATCACCACAATAGCACATCCCATATCTGCGACAAAACAGACCCGTATCTTTTTCAGCAATGGGCCAAGATGCTGCCATTGTTGTTGCTCGGAGACTTCATCGCTCAAGCTACTAATCCCCTTTACGACAAACTCCATCGTCTTTTCATCGGCCTCCACATGCTCAGTGTCCAACGTCTTGCTCAGCCAGAACAAATCTTCTTTTCCAACACCGACTAAACTCGACAATCTTCTCACTAGAGCCACCACTTTCTGGTTGTATGATCTTGGCTGGTCTCCACCAGAAACCCAGTTCAGCAAGTTGTACTGTCCGATGGAATTCGACCACCGTGGCCTTTTCTCTGGCCAGCCAATATCACTGGAAAAAAGGAACCAGGACAAGCTAGCCAGCCGGTCGCATTTCTGAGCCTTCAACCACGCCCAAGTCCATGGAGACATTATGAAGATAAACACTGCAGAAAGATCAAGGAAAAAGCCTCCGATAAACAGCGAATAGGTGATCGCAACATCAACTCCGTTGTACCTCCGTTTGTCACATGTAAGGAACAGTGCAAAAGCAAGGAGGGAACATGCGTGAGAGGTGCATCGGAGAATCATGCCTATCCTTGTTCTCAGCACAAGAGCCTTTGTGTAGAGGTCATCGTACATGATTGCAAGCTCAAGCTCCACCACCTTGAGCATTTTTTTGGTTCCCTGTACCGTGTCTCGAGCAATAACAACTGGGGAATTAGATTCTGGACCATTAACAAATGGGTTACGCGCTGCAAAGACATTGTGGACATTTAGCATTGAACATAGAGCATCCAAAACTACCTTAGAATAGCCATGATCCGAATCGTTTAATTCCGGAAACCGTTTCTTGTAGTGATCTCCAGTTGAGCTCTCGAGACTTTTAAACCTTCCATACTTGAGAGACAGTGTCCTTTCTCCATACTTGGTAACTCCGGCAATGAACACAAGGACACCTGAAACTAGAAGCTCTGCACTGTGCCTTGCTGGCGATTTCCAGAAAACATATGCAGCTAGGACTACTTGCACCACCAAGTTCAAGAGATGCCTCAGCCACAAGTTGTTGTCTGCCATTGAAAATGCGGTGATGCTGTCCTGCCCACCAAGATGGATGAGGAGGAATGATGCCCAAAAGAAAGCTAGTGGCTGGGTTCCCCCTGACATTTGCCTCTGAATATCATCGTGTCGTGAGAGGTAACCAAGAGCATAAACTGCTGTGAAGTCTGCTCCCAAATAAGCTGTCCAGATAGAAACCCTGAGGAACACATTGGTGTTGCGCCTCCGAAGACTGCCGGTGAAAAAGAGGAACATTTGGAGTGTGAAGCTGAGGAGCACAAGCAGCTGGATTTCCCGCTGATGATAAAGTTTCATAAAATCCTTCATTATTATAAATTTAAGAGCACCTGTGTTGGATATTCCAGTAATCATTTAGTACAAGTTTTAAAAAGAAGATTACATTTTCGACGTACTACAACCCAGAAACGTAAAGAAAAAGAAGTCAGAGTAAATTCTTTAAAATTCTAGGTATATATTATGATCTAAATTGCATAAATCCAGAAGTTTTGGCACGTGGCATATAACACTGGATATATTATAGTCCTACAGTTTCATATAACCGCACTGTTTATTAATTTTACTTGCTACTATTGTGTCAAAACAAAAACAAAAAAAAAATGCTTAACTTAATGGCTATCAAACTTTTTATACAATAGATCAAATAATTCTTCATATATTTCAGAATTAATTTAGAACCCACAAATATGGTCAATCAAATAACAATTTATTAACAGCATGATTTTATGAAACTATAAAACCATAGCACCAAGAATAATCATATGCTCCGTGCTAAAATTCCATTTTTTTTTGCAAACAGCAACAAATCGATTCACAATATTAAAGCTCGATGCATGTATGTACAACAAGAAAATAGTAAATACCCCGGTTGTTTGTGACAGTTTTTGCCCAGTGTAATTAATTAGTTATACCTATAATATATCCTATCTACAATTCCCTCCGTTTCGTTCCGTTCCACGATATAAGACGTTTTTTATCTAAATATACTAGCATACATATGAATTTATACACATCTATAAACATATATATGGATCCATATATGAATCTATAAAATCCCAAAACGTCCTATAATGTGAAAAAGAGAAAAATACATCTATTTAAAAATATAGCAATCGAAAGAGATACAACCTAATACTACGAATCTGAACAGATATATTGGTACCATGATTGTATTCCCATCTAATCCTAGATTTACTATATTTTGCAACTAAGAGAATACTATTCTAAACTCATTTCTCTCTCTCTCCTATGTCGGCCGGCTTTGCTGCCATGGAAAGGAAGGAGGAGACCGACCTCTGCACGACCGGCGTCTCCCGCCAGGAACCCCAGCCACCGGACGACGGATCAGCCGTACGTCGCCGTGTCCAGGAGGTAGCAGATCGAGTGGAGGAGGGACACGGGAGGAAGGATCGGATCGAGTGGACGACAGAGAGACTTGTTGTTGACGAGGAAGTGATCAGATCGTCAGGGACGAGGAAAACTCTGTGAAAGACCGTAGCTAGGCTTTGCCGATTTTTTCTCAAGTCAATTCTACTATGGAGTTTGGACCACATGACACTCACAGCCTAGCTACCACGGAAACCCCAAAATCCTACTCACTCCCTAGGATTTTTTTTTAAAGAAACATGGTAGTACACTTGTCCCTATAAACACACGTACACTTTATTCATATTTATAACAATTAATGTATTGAAGTTGGTTGATACGAAGAAGAGAACGCGGAAAAATTAAATAAAAGATAGTTGTGATTGATTGAGATAATAGTATAGATACTAGAGAGTCTATATTTTTACAATAAAATTTAAAAGTATGGAGAGTATCAAGCATATATCACAAGTACTAGATGGAGAGCGGTAAGAGGCCAGCCGGTTGCTTCCCTGGCCACGTGATATAATGATATAACGTACGGTAACCTTTTCAGTTTTTGGAAACCACGGTAATCCTCACGATAACAGCATGGTTCACGATAACCACACAGTTTCTGCACATGATAACCACCTTACTGTGGGTTAAAGGTAATCTCACCAAGACGGTTTGGCGAATCCTGATACTCACCAGGAAATTCTATTGTGTAGTGTCATCCAATTGTGCAACCATGGTGATAGTATAGGTGGTTTCAAAGTGAGGTTGTTTTTTTAATAAAGATGCAGTACCCACCATGAGTTGGTACGGTTATTAATCATTGGCTGTATTAGTTTTGCTTTTCATAGGGCTGCATATGACTAGATACTTTAAAAAAAGTACAATGGCACTCCAAATACTATAGCGATAAGCATTCCACGTTGGATTGCATGCTGAGCTGAAAAGAGATTAGTGAAGAGAGAAGGCAAACAAGTGACTAAGGGTATGTTTAGCAGAGCTTCAACTTCGAAGTTTATCTTCAAGAGCTCGATTTGAAGTGAAGTTGTAGAGCAGTTTAAACCGAGCTTCACCTTCTTAATTTATTTTATGAGAGCATTCTAGTCAGTTTCACTCTAGCTCCCTTTTTAGGTGGAGTTGAAACTGTTTGGTTGGGCCTTAGCTCCAGAAGACATGTAGTTGGAGCTAGAGCTCTGCCAAACATACCCTAAATAGTCGCTCGCTCCATGCGCACTCCAAGAGCGTTGTATAGTAGCTTTCCTATCGCTTGCTCGTAGCCGATGCCGACAACACCCCCATGTGGTAATGTGGGGCCGTATAATTAGCGACATCCAACGCCAGGGAGATCATGGAGAAACAGCAGCGCGGCCACCTCCAGGGACTACGAGGGGGAATAGGCACCAGAGAAAGACGGTGGCGCGATATAGAGCGACGGCGACATGTCAGTTACCATGACGACAAGAAAAAGAACAGAAAGGAGTTGATATAGAAAAAATAACTAGTGAAAAAAAGGTAGGGAAATTTCTGACCATACCGATATTGTTTTCATAAAGAAAAGTAAGATATTGTTTTTAGCTTTATGTAAAATTTGGTTTTTTTAATTTATGTATGAATTATATTGAAGTCATCACTAAAATGTTAGTTAGATTTATAAATATAAAAAGTTCCCAACCATAGTGATACCATTTTCATAAAATTTTAGTTATTAATATCGTTTCCAACAATTTTCATCCTAAAAAATCCAATCAGAGAAAGGAATAGGAGCTCCCAATGGCAGTGGTAGTGTCCTGGTCAGCAACAGCGGCGGCATTCCGGGCTCCGCGACACATAGTTCACTGTTAGCTTTTTTGGCTCCCAGGGCTCCCTTAGAGCAAGTTTAATAATATAGTCCAACTACTAGCTCCAAAAATTAAGGCACCATCTATAGCTAACCTAATAATTCACTCATATAATAGTTAGTTGTTAGTTGTATATATATTGCATCATTAATACTTATTCACATATATCTCTTATATTGTTTATTGGAACCCATGCTTTAGTTGGCTATAAATTTATAGCCCATTTTTTCTCTCTCGTCTTCTCTCTCCTCCATATAAACACAAATATGATGTGACAAATCGTACATCCCGCTTACATCATTCTATTATACTCGGTTTTATGGCAGCAATTCTAAAGGAAAGGGTAGGTAGAGGGAGAAGATGCTGGAATCTTAACATTTCAGCTGATGTCGTGGCAGATGAGCGAATTGGACTCTCAACTTTATCGCAACCAGCAAAACCAATTAATTTTACAGAAAAACTAGAAAACGGGATTCTGTTCAACGGGATAACCTAGCCTTCACAACATAAGCATACATGTAGCGGCTTGCCGGCTTACATGGAGAGATCAACCAAACTCTATACAAAAGGCAAGGGCCCACATGCATGTACTATCCTTTTTTCTTGTCCATCCATGCAGCTAGCTTATGGGCCAACGTGCATGTGCGTACATGCTCGACATTTTACTCCTGCATGTACGGTGCCCACATGACTTTGGCAGAGAGGTCGATCAGTTCTATGCGGTAGTTAATCATCAATAATGAATACACTTATTAGATCACTAGTACAGAAATATAATCCCTCATACCTAATATGTATTATAACTGAAAAAATATAGTGCAAAAAATGGTTCCTTGGATCCAATACCTACATATATCGTAACTGATATCTCACAAGTATCATCACTAGTACCCATGTATCATCACCAATACCTGATAGGTATCATCACTAGTACCTACGTATCATCACTGATACCTCATAGGTATTATCACTAGTACCAGACAGGTATCGTCATTGGTACCCATGTATCATCACCGATACCTAACATGTATCATCAATTGGCACCTATATGTATCTTCACCGATACCTCACAAGTATCATCACCAGTACCTACATGTATCATCACCGGTACCTACATGTATTATCTTCGATACTGGGTATCGACCAACCCAGATTGTTCCAACTGATATCATAGGTACCATCGAGATACTTGGTACCTAGATCAACATGATTCCCATATGTACCAGATCTAGTACTGGGTATCGGGTATTTGGGTATCAAGTACCTGGTACCTAGATCGGTCTGATACCTATAGGTACCATACCTAGTGCTGGTATCAAGGTACATGAGGTATCATATACCTGATACCACCTGAGTATCGGGTACTAGGTGTACCTGAATTGATGTTGAACGATACCTGTTGGTATTGGGCCTGGTATCAGATACTAGTTTTAGTATCAGGTATCAACTCACATGCCACGTCACATGCATGCATGCAGCTAGCAACACAGCCACGTCACATGTATGCATGTAGCTAGAAACACAGCCATGAGTAATCAGTAGAATGCTACGTGAGAGGAAGCAGGTGGGGGGGGGGGCTAGCGACGCGGAACGGAAGGGTATCCCGTTCCCACGGGATCCTACGGTCTAGCTATCCTCTTAATTTTATGTTATTTGAGACCATTCAACAACTTTATTTTGTTAACGTACAATAGAGTTAGTTGTTGGCTCAAGGCTGAGAGCAGGAGCATGGCGGTGGCGCACAGTATGAGGGATGGCTCTTGGAGGATAAGGAAGGAGAGGATCATTGTAAAAGCATTATAGGTGTTAAAAAATTACAAAGATGAGGGTTTTTTTTTCTTTTCTTAAGGGAAAAAAGAAGTTTGAATTACCCCAAACTATTACAGTTGCTCGAATTACCTCCTTAAACTCAAATACTAGATATTTAACACCCCAAATTCTTTGAACCGGATGAATTACCCTCTCATTCAATCTGAAGCGGTTTTTTACAACATGGCGTACACATGGCAGTCCAATCAGCAAAACAATAATTAAAAAATTGTGTGGTCCCAACTGTCCAATATTTCTCTCTTCTCCAGCTCAACTCTAGCAGGCAGACATGGTGAGGAGGGCGCTACCGTTGCTGCCCCTATTCCTCTCTTCCCTCTCTTACCAGTATCTCAGCAGGCGAGGCTGGCTCCAGCGAGGCAAGCGGCATCCACTGCCACCCCTCTTCCTCTCTTTCCCCAGATCGACCTCGGGAGGTGATGCGGACTCCGGGTATCGACCTAAGGAGGCAATAAGGAATCCGGCGAGGCGGGCCTCGACCACCTATTGACGAAAAATCTGCGCTCAGTCGATGGTGCCAGAACTGTGTTGGCGCGAACTAAGTCAACGAACACAACAGACTGGGAGATTAGCTTAGCTCCAGTGAAGGTCCAAAGGTTGATGAGATGTGGGCGTGTCAATCAGTTTGATCCTGCAACTGACAAGATATACAAATAGCATATCAATGAGCCGATCGGCTGACAAGCCGATGGAATAATTCCAGCCGATGTCGATAGGGTTTTGAACAATCGACTAATGGTAATGTAATTAAACCATAATAATATCCAGTAGAAATCAATCGGCTAACAATGATATGATAGAATAATCACCGATCCGAAGGTTAAAACATACATCGGCTGAATATCCGATGTCATCAAATCCACAAGATTAGACAATGAAACATTTGTTGTGATCGGCTAAATCCAACATGTATGCAATCCTTGTAAGCCGATGCAACGTCCAGATACCTCATTGGCTGAAACTCTGATGAAACCCTTATTGGCAATCAAGAAGCGGGCTAGAGATTATGATTCTAAGCACGACTTAGTAGATCAAACTTAACTGATGCTGCACTAAGTATGAAAAGAAACATAATATCTAGACAATCAAGCCTTTGACTGATTTTCAGGGTGGTAGATACCTTAGCTAATCTAATATGGTAAGCGATTTAGCCGATACCAATATAAACCCTAAAGCGAATGTCAGCCGATACAAGTAAATCGAGCTACCAAACTAGATTATCTAAGATGTATGATAGATAGGTGCTTAGATTGACAATATCAGAGTGTCGAAACCCTAGCCCCGCCGATGCAAATAGCCATGACAAGTATAAACTCGTCGAAAAATTAGAAAAGTAAAAAGGTGGCGATGCGCCGAAGTTGTATTGATCGTGGAGATAGTTTACAAAAAAAAACCTCGGGTGTACATATTTATACCCATGGGTAGATACTAGTCGTTGTTGGATAAGAAAGAAACTTTTCTAAAGATAGAAGGAAAACATAAAGTCTTTATGGGACACTAAACACACTTTCCTAAAGATAAAAGAAAAC